CTTGAGTAAAGATTACCTGAGCTCTATCCAAGGCTCCTAAAGTTGATAGGTTGTCTGGTAATGGGTAACTTGATGACGCATCTGGGTGCCTTATGGAGATTTGCATTATGTTGAAGTATCTTAAATGACGTCATGCAGTTATCCAGGCAACCTGCCTCTCTCAATAATAACCTTGAGGTCTATCGATTTTTGCTCGCCCAGGATTAACGATTAACTGAGCCGCATTCTTTCGCAATATATTTGAATCATGATTCCGAGATCCTGATCCGTTTGTTTAATTGGATCATGTTTGAATTTTGAGGTCCGAAAGAACGCCAATGCGGTTACCTGACGACACACTTGTTTTTGCCTTATGAAACATCTCCTCGCTCCTCATACGGAAAGTGTCAGATTAACAACGACGGACTTTACGTCGCATTATTATTTCTTTATTGGTCGAGATTTTTGAGCAAGTTTTCGACATTACAAAATGCAATGACAAAAATGAAGAAAAATATTGCTGAGACATACGTTTAAAAAACCCGAGAAAAAACCATAGCCATCTTTGATTTTTTTTTTTGAAGACCCATTACAATTGACACAAGATTTTTCAAATTGACAGTAATTTAAGTAGGTATTTTACTAATGAAATAAAGTGCACTTTAATGTACTAGTGGGTACCTTCTATATAAAATAGCTATTTATACAATAAGTTACGAAATGAGCGTCTTTTAGGCACGCGACGTGAAAATTGTCCAACGAGGCAAAGCCGAGTTGGACAACACGTCGAGTGACTAAAAGACACCGTTTCGTAACGTATTGTATACAAGATTTTTTCTACTGGCATTTTATAATAAAAAAACACAATTTTATTTCATGTGAATAAGTCGATTACACCCAAAATCTTTGTTACCTGCTTTTACTTGACACCTGACACTTTTCATGCGATTTTCTTTTCAAAATTCGACATCAATAATTAAAATCCTAGAAAGTAGGTAATAACACAAACTTCTGTTTTGAGTAACCCAAACGTTCAATTCAGTAATTCCATTTTCAATATTCATAATAAATACAAAACAAAATTCAAATATGTGTTTAGTGTGTTTTTTATTTCTGAATAATGAATGACACTTTTAGGCACTGGTGCTTAAAAATTACTTTTACGCACTCATAAGTCACTTTTACGCATTCAAAAGTCACTTTTACGCACTGAGTGCCTAAAAGTAACTTTCACGCACTCAGTGCCTAAAAGAATGTCGTTTCAAAACTGAAATGACAATCGAAAAGTTGCTATTATGAAACGTCAGTAGAAAAACTACTTATTGTACTTATAAAATCAAGTTAGAAATGATGTTAAGGGGTTATAGTAATTTTTCCTACGAGCGTGCGCAAAGTAGTACTTTTCCGCACGTATTTCCGGGCTCAAAGTTACACTTTTCCGCACTCAGTGCGGATACAGGCCTTATCCGCACTGAGTGCCGAAAAGTAATTATAATTGTCAAACAACAATAAGTGCACCTGTCGACTTTGACACATGATGACAAATTTTTCCTCTGTTTCTATATCAGCCAACATCTATACAAACACCAAAAATAAATTAACTTTGACACATTGTCAGATTTGTTCTCTATTTATATGCAAAAATCTACACATTTTCTCATCAAATTTAAACGCTTTAAGATGAACAGCTCTGACGAGGATTTTCTGTTATTTTTTTTTGTTATGTAATTTTTTGATAAATGCATAGGTTCCCTTCAAGTTAATTAAAAATAATTAAACAAATTATCGTTTTTTTTTTAATTTTTGTTATTACCTACCTGATATGAAGCTCGAAGGAAAAATTTTGTTCCTAACACGTGCGCAAAGTGTCTTTTCCGCACGCAAACACGTATCCGAACTCCGCTTCGCGTCGTTCGTATAACTGTGTTTGCGTGCGGAAAAGTAACACTTTGCGCACTTGTTAGGAAAATAACTATTGGTAAATGTGTGTAATTTTTTTTTAGTAAGTATTGGTAATTCTGGTAAATGTGTGTAATTTTCGGTAATTTTGTAAATATCATTAAATATTTTGTAATTTTTTGTAAAAATTATTTTGGTGTACACGATTGTTCGGAGTGGTTACCCCCTCGGTAAAAGCTCTGTTAGTTTTTTTCATAATTATCTTTCTTTGCGTAGTCAAAGAGTGTGTATCAGTAATAATCACTCCACCTCTCAAAAAGTAATCTCTGGTGTCCCACAAGGCTCCATATTAGGACCTTTGTTGTTTGTGTTGTATACTGCAGACATCTTTAAAGAAGTTACTTGTTCTCACTTGCAATCATATGCAGATGACACGCAGCTATTGCATACTTTTCATCCAGATAATTTTGAAGAAGCAGGGGTCAATATTTCATTAGAATTGCAAGCAATTTCTAAATTCTCTAAATCACATAACTTGAGGTTGAATGCAGAAAAAGCCAAAATAATTCTTTTTTGTCAAAATCAAAATCGAGCCATGTTAAAAGAAAATCTACAAATAGACATAGAAGATCAACTGTTGAATTTTTCAGATAATGTAAATATATTGGGCGTTACCATAGATGAATCCCTGCGGTTTACGAACTTCGTTAACAAGCTGACACAAGCAACCTATATAAGACTGAAAATTTTATTTGCAAATAGGCATCTCCTTAACTTTAAATTACGTAAAAAACTCTGTGAATCGCTGGTATTATCATTATTCAACTATTGCAATATCTTTTACTATCCTTGTCTGGATCTTGCCACAAAAAAATCGTTTACAATATGTTCAAAATACATGCTGCCGATTAGTATTCAATTTACGAAAATATGACCATATCTCAAATTATTTATCTCGACTTAAATGGTTAAAAATTGATCAAACAGTGCAACTTCAATTTAGTACATTTTTGAACCGATATCTTCATTTCTCCACACCCGTATATTTAAAAGAAAAACTTGTTTATAGACCTAATATGCACAATGTTCCCATACGACACCGTAATACCTTATACATGCCTCTACTGCACTCTTTAAAAGATCATTTACATTCAATGCCGTAAAAGTATATAATTCAATAGATCATAGTCTTAAACAACTTCCAATACGGCAGTTTCGTCAAACACTAAAAAATAGCTTATTGAATATTACCCAGTAATGAACTTATATTTAGTCTTGTTGCGTTAAGTAAATATTATTTTTGTAGTTTGGACATAGTAGCATATTTTTATATTTAGTATGTAATGAGATTTATATTAAATTCTTATCTTATTATTATTTTTTTTTGTTACATTGAATTAGAATTTTGTAGTTTGGCCATAATAGTAGTTTTTTTTTTGTGTGTATTTATAATTTTTACATTTTGTTTTTTTTTTGGGGGGGTTTTTGTAATATCTATAAATGGGTTTGGTTTAATAGGTACCTCGTACCTTGGTAGCGAGGTTATTGTTATGAAATTTTTTAGTTATTGTTCATGTTGTTCTCATATTAACTATATCAATACCTACGATATTAATAATTTAGTTATTTTGGAATATATTTAACATTGGTTAATTTAATGAATGGTTAAGTGTAAGAATAGCCACTTGGCTAAACTTCACCATTACTGTTTTGCTAAATGTAGAACTTTTATTTAAATAAAGCCGTTTATTATTATTATTATTATTATTATTATTATTATTATTATTATTATTATTATTATTATTATTATTATTATTATTATTATATACTTAGAACATAGAAGAGCAATAAAAATGATCGATAAAATCACACTCTTACCGATTCATTGCAATTTCTCGAACATAGACGCAAGGTGGCCGACTTGTCGTTATGCTATTGCTATTACCATGGAAGATGTTCTGACGATCTCGCCAGCATCATTCCAGCCCAGCTAGGAGAAGTTACTTGAGAACCACAAGAACCTCATGAGCAACCCATCAGTGTGGTAAATTTGGCAATTCATTAGTATATCGTGCGTCGCAAGTCGGGCGGAATATAGTATATTTCCTAACTAGTGCGGAAAGTGCGACTTTTCCGCACGCGACTGCAGTTTGCCGAACGACGTGCAGCGGTGTTCGGCAAGCAATCAAGTGCGGAAAAGCGGCTTTCCGCACGAATTAGGAACATTATTTTTTTTACGAGATGGAAGTTAATATTTGTTTCTATATGTTTACCAATTTAATACAATTTTTTTTTACTTTTCCCTACCTGTATCTGTAGTATACCTGTATACCTGTAAGTACCTCTATACCTAAAAATTTAAGGTATCCTACTTTTCCGTACGCCGTGCATCTCGTAGAAATAGTATATTCTGCAACAAGTGTTGAAAATAGCACCTTTCACACGCGTGGGGAAGTTTAGTGACACGAGCCGCAGGCGAGTGGCACAAACCGCACGAGTGTGAAAAGTGCTTTTCACACGCGTTACACACTATACTTTTTCTATGACTGGGAAATAACTATATTCACATTGAGATTTAATTTTTTTTTGTTAAAAATTATTATTTAAGGGTATATTCAACGAACTATGTTGGTACGTACGTTGAATGCACTCAGAGTTACTTGCAAAACAAAAATTCAGTAGAAGAGTCATTTTTATTTTACCGTCTGAAAAGTTACTTTTCGCACGCTGTGCGGAATAATTGATTTTCTAGGTAAGTTAGTATTGCGTTTTTAATAGCTCTCTAGAGCAGTCGTAGAAAAAAATAGTGTTCCTAACTCGTGCGGAAAAGTGGCACTTTCCACACTAGTTAGAAAATATATTATTTCGCATTTCGGGCGCGAGGCTAAAGATAGGTAAATACCCTTCGCAGCTCAGGCGGTCAAAGATCGGTAGGTACCTACTAATAATAATATCACAGATAAGCCAAGTTTTCTCTTCTATGATAAAATAATGGTACTGAAAAGGTAGAGGAAAAGGTTCTCTGAAATTAAAACTAATATTATAAAAACAAGGCATTACATCAAAACACAAATTAATCAAATTTTAAAACATGTCTTAAGGTTTAGAGCGTACCCCGTAAGTCAATTTGGAATGGCTTTTCCCATTCTCTTCTTGAGTCTGTTGTGCCAGCCCTCTACTGTATTGGTGGTCCTATATGCCTCCTTGTAGATTACCCAAAACAAATCATTGTCCAACCACTGATCAACAAAATAATCATTGAATTTGTCTAAGAGTGGGTCATTTGGTGCATTCTCCGTTATAATAAGCCATGCATCTTGTAATGTTTCTTCTGGCAAATAAGCAAGGGCTGCACACATTCGGATATGATTTCTGATAAATTGATTATCTCTGTACATAGTTACCAGTCCACATTCTTGAACCTTTCGCCACAGAGCCTGGTTAAAGTGGAAGTTGCAACAGTTAATTGTTGTCTCTGGAAAAATCTCCTGAATGGCATTGATCGCTGCCTTCTCGTAGTTAATATGTATTTTTTCTGGGAAGAGTTGTCGAATCATTTGGAAAAATGTTCTGTCTGGAAGCAAAGCATACACTGCAGGCACAACTACCGTTTATTGCTCAGTGCTTCCTAGATCCACGTGTATGGTGTATAATTGCTCAAACAATGGGCAGCAACTTTTAAAAGTTCCAGATTCCCTTGGATGTCGGCGAACACGATTATTCTTTCTTCTGTTCCATTGTCGGCTAAAACATACACCTTTGGCCCAATCTGGAATCTGTATTCCACTTCTACATTTTGGTAACCGTTGAATTCCTAGTTTCTTATGTTTTTGTCTGTACATTGTATCTTTAATAGACATAAATGTCGGAATTTCAGTGACCAAATCTAGTCCAGCCATCTTGTAAGTTCAGTAGCTCTTGCCTGAAAATTTGTGACACTGGAGTAATTTCTTCACGGGCACGTTTCTTCGCTCTGAACAGACTTACTTCGACTTCATTTTTGGCTACGCTAGGAACACAAGAATGCAGTCTCCCTGACAAAACATTTAAACTCTCACTGGTGGTTATGGAACCTGAACAAGGGCGCTTTATATAGATACAGCGTTTAGTAGAATTCTTATTTCGACACATCAGTGAATATTTGTATCCAGAATGTAAAATGGAAGCTTGGCCTCGTTGAGTTTCCACTACTTGAACTTCTATCTTCTTTCAATATAAAAATAGTAATTACAATAGAACTCTCACTTCAAAAATTTCAGTGCAAACTGAAATATGAAAATGAATTGCCTTTTCGTTTTGTGCAAAAATTTGTAATTAGTACCTGTATCTACCCAAGTACCTGACTTGTCCAATTAAGGGGTTCTTATTGTATTCGATGTTTGACTCACTTAACCCACTTGGAACATACTAAAATTAGTACCTATTTAGGGTACAGTAACCATGGCTAGCTTTAATACCCCATCGAACCGCCCGATATGCGAGTCATATCCCTAGAATAGGTATTTATTGCTGACAATTCCACTCATGTATAAACAATCCCATTTGAACTGTCAAAAATCGAAGTTTGCTAGCGGATAAATAGGAAGGAAGAGAAAATATAACTGGATAAAAAAATCGGATAAATTTTCTGTTGATGCAATCGTTACCATAGTAATAATTGCATATTTAATTAGTTTTTAAAACATCTGTCAAATCAGTGTGTCAAAAAATTCACAAATTCTATCATTTTAACTCATTAAAACTGTATTTTTAAATAAAATTAGAAATATGTTGAGCATGCAGCGATTTGGGACAATTGACAAAGTTCAAATTAACTGCGAAATAGAAAATTCAATTCCTGAGAACACAAAGAAGAGCCGATCTTCGATATGGCATCAATTTACTATATTTTCCAAGGAACGGAATTTCGATTTGGACACACAGATGTCTATTGAAGACCTAGCGGAGATATTAATGGACTGGGGCATTAATATGAAAAAAAAAAAAATGGGATGGATTACAAAGAATATGTCGTTAAAACCATGTGGAATTCAGTTGCAAAAATGCTTCAAAATATGTATTATGAAAAATTTAAGGTAATTTTCAACCCTTTCACCGATGTTACATTCAAAAAAGCCAGTGATGCCCGTGATTGCAAAAGAAAAAAATTGCAAACTAACTTAGAAAAACGAAAAGAAAGTTCCATAGCATTAACTCAAATCGAAATAACCAGGATGGCATTATTATGGGATGAAAATACACCAGAAGGACTCTTGAAGAAATTTTTTCACGTGGTTGCTTACGAGCTTGCTTGGAGAGGAGGTGAAGCTGCCAACTGTAAAATTTATTATTTTAAAGAAGAAACATTTAACAATGGAGAGTTAACTGGCAGAATTGAATACAACACCATATTCTCAAAAACGTGTCAGGGAGGATCAAAAAGGTGCACTGAATCTAAATGGCTTGTAGCTAACAAAGAAAATCCGGATATCTGTCCGATACGGTTGTATTACAAAATTGTATCAAAGAGACCAGCTCATATTTCAACTGATAGATTTTTCCTCACCCCAAATCCATTTTGGAAAAATGGGAAATCAACAGGATGGTATAAAAATATGCCTAACGGAATCAATGAAATTCTAAAGTGGACAAAAATCTCAGCAGAAAAAATTGGTCTGGACATCAAAAACAAAAAAATTACAAACCATTCTCACCGGTCAAGTGCGGTAAAGCTGGTGTTGGTGAACAAGAACTAATGAAAATAACTGGGCATTCTTCGTGCAGTTCCATAAAACCATACCTACAGCTTAATGACGAACATCATTTAAGTTTAGTAACAAACCTTCGTGAAAAAGCAGTGAATATTGAAAGAGCGCAACCAACCACCACAACATCTTGTTTAATACCACCAGTTTTGCAAACATCTTTGAAAGAGTCTTCTTCTCTTTGTATAGACTCAAATTCTAAAGGTCAAAATATTTATACTAATTGTACCTTCAATAACTGTTCATTTTAGAAAGTATTTCCACATTATTATCGATTGTAATTTGTTTTCTTATTTGAGATAAATAAATATTTCATTTTAATTTTGCATTCGTGGAATTGCCGTACTAAATACCATTCGAGCTCAGATTTTGAGCAGGATATTTTTTGGCTTGCTCTCTTATACTTACTTTCATGCAATTTATCTCGATCTCGCTCTCGTTAAATTTCCTGAAAGTAAGTATTCGAGACCAAGCCAAAAAATATCCGGCTAAATCTGAGCTCTTATGGTATTACCTACGATTATTTCATTCATTATAAAATAGACCCATCAGACAACGTCATTTTTTGAATGAATTTTGTTTAAATAAGTGATTATTTCACAAGACCTTGTTTATCAGCGATTAAATTTTTGTTTACCTTTTTTGACAGAATTTTGATAGAAATATTCTGACATTTTATAATAAATAGAACTCTTTGGATAGGATTGACGCCAACAATTCAATCCTAATTATTCAGGAAATAATCTAGCCGTATACCACTCGACCTATAAATTTAAATGGATTAAACTATCCAAATATTTTTGGCATAATTTTGCTTTTTGGCAAATAGTTTTAAATAAAAGCCCTCGACCGCTTCACGGTCTCGGGCTTTTATTAAGTTATTTTGCATTTAACTATTTTCCAAGCAAAATCATGCTCAAAATATGTTGGATAGTTTAATCGATTAAATTTAAAGCTCTTGTGATATAATATATGATTATGCATTTATACCTTACTAGCTGACCCGGCGAACTTCGTACCGCCTCTGAAGTATTAAATATAGGTACCTATTAAATGTTGTGTTAACGTATCTATTAGCTGAATTAAATTCAGTTTTTTTCGATGGTGAATTTGGCTTTGGTTGAAGAAAATTAATGTTTACTCTCTGGATCAGAAGTCACCTAAAATTAAAATTTTACATCATCCTTTTTTAGGCAGCTTGTGGGCATTATTCTTGTAAAGTGTACCACCAAATAAATAAACTCAGGCACAAAAATGTTCAAAGAATGTAAAGAAAACAAAAAAAATCTCTAGCGCAGCCCTATGTCACTCTATCTGCACTGCCTGCACTGCACTACTCCATCTGTTTTACTCTATCTGCACTACTCTATCTGACCTACTCTTTCTGCACCACTCTATCTGATCGGGATAGTGGAATAGTTCTGTGCAGCATTGTTCTATTGTATCTGCAATGCCGAGCTTCGTTCCAGGTATCAGAGATTGTTTTGTCAGAGATGGCGCGGTATACAAAATACAAATTACAAAATAAACTTGGTATCGGTTATAAGACATGGCGCCGTATGCGGGCTTAGTAAATTTTTTTCATAAATAAATAGAATAAGTAATGAAATGACCACATTAATGACATAACAACATGCTGGTACTGTCAACGCTGAAAAAAGTTTCAATTTGACAGCAAAATGATCCTCCATTTATTGAGAATTAATTTATTACAAAAAATGTGATAAATGAAGAACCGCTCGACCGATTTTGTGCAAACTTCACATAAACCATCTAATAAATAGTCCGAACAAAGCCTAAACATTTGGTTTGGCTAGGTGAGTCCGTTCTTGAGTTATAAAATTACAACGAAAAGTGGCATTCATTTTTATATATATAGATATATACGATTGTTGCAATAATTAACATTAACATTATTCCGTGTCAAAGCTAGACTTGCTGTTCGGGTGATTGTTCACTTTAGAATTAGTTACGATTAAGGCATTCCTGTAACGTAGTTTAGGACTTAGTGAAAATAAAATCTTTTTTTAAAAGGAACTCCGAGGATCTCTTCATTTAACTTGCGAATTCACAGGTACATATTTTTGGAGGGCACTCGAGTTGCAACAAATTCAGGTAGTTTTTCATTACGCGCGAGTTGCTAATGCACGAGTCAAGAAGACACCAAATTTGGCTACCCCGAGGACTTCTAAATAAAAGGCTTCTTTTTGATGGCGTGCTGCCAAACACTGGAATTCCCTGCTTGCTAGTTCATTTCCTTAACGTTTTGCACCTATTTTGCACCACCCGAAAAAAAAATTGCACCCCCTCAGGAGAGAGACTATAGGTATAGAATTATTGTAACAAAATCAATAGCAAATTTATATTCTCGGTTCAAGCTCATCTTTCGTGGGAAAGGATTCATTTTTATAAATAGTTAAAATGTGACCCTAATGAAATTTACAAACACATGGAATTTTGCCAACGACCTAATCTGTTCGAGGGGGCTCCGTGTCATTTGCGCGACAGCCGTTTGCGCGAGGGAGAAAAGCACGATACGAAAAGCGCGAGGGACAAAACCGCGATGGAACAACAACGCGACTGGAGAAAAGCGAGAGGAACGAAA